CAACTAATATTTGTTAGTCTTATGTCAGTAACATCTTTAGATCAAGATTGTTTCCCTGAATAAGAAAGTATCTTATATAACTTATTTTTTTATAAAAATTTAATTTTTTTGCAATTTTGGTCCAGTTTTCTAGATACATTAACTGCATAAATAACTTTGTAATCCCATATAAATAAAGGATTACAAAATTACATTTGCAGTAAAACAATCAGTGTACCTGTATATGTATAATATAATGGAATAATAGGTGTAGATGGGTACTTTGTTGGTATTCAAGAAGTAGATGGTACCGGAAAGGAAAAAAGTAGCGCTATATACAAAAAGAAATGAGATGCCATCAAAAACATAACATGTAAAAGAAATCAAGTCTTGTAACTCAGTTCTTCTACCGTAAAAAGTTGTGTGAACCAAGTCGGTTAATTTATTCAGTCCTTACTTACTTAGGGTCCTTCTGTCTTAAGTTATTGCGTAATTAGCCAACCTAACATCTTATGTTGGCCATATCAATATTAAAAACCTTTTATGTTTTAAGTAAATAGATTGACTTGGCAATCACACTAAACGATCTAATTTAATATCATTTGTATTATTTGCTAGATACATTGTGTTTTCATGCTCTTAAAAAAGCTATATAGTATACCACACAATGTGCTACCAAGTGACTATCATTTTGATGGCATAAAATTTTGGGAATGGGCCTGCTGTTCACTGTTAACTATAAAAAGTATACATATTTGTTTCCAGATATCAATGAACCACCATCCATCTATAAACATTTTGAAATGATAGGACAAACAGCAGTGTCTACATCATGACAAAACTGGTAAATATAATAATTGTAAAAATCTTCATAAATTCTTCACAAATAGTATATTATTATGTTCAGTTAATTACCTTATCGATCTAATTTAATATCATTTGTATTATTTGCTAGATACATTGTTTTCATGCTCTTAAAAAAGCTATATAGTATACCACACAATGTGCTACCAAGTGACTATCATTTTGATGGCATAAAATTTTGGGAATGGGCCTGCTGTTCACTGTTAACTATAAAAAGTATACATATTTGTTTCCAGATATCAATGAACCACCATCCATCTATAAACATATTGAAATGATAGGACAAACAGCAGTGTCTACATCATGACAAAACTGGTAAATATAATAATTGTAAAAATCTTCATAAATTCTTCACAAATAGTATATTATTATGTTCAGTTAATTACCTTATGTTTTTATTCCTAGGTTGCAAATCGGCAAGAATCGAAAAAATATTGCTCGCTAATATTTGGTGAAGTTTCGATAGAGCCAGGTCTTACATATGACAAATACAGTTACAATATCTGTGGACTTGTAGAGTTACTGTCTACTCAGAGTCACAGTTACTGTGACTATGTCGACCATGCCTTAATGTTCCTCATTTGAGGTACTATACACAAATGGCAACAGCCCATTGCCTTTTATTTTTGTCAGGAACTAGACCTGCACTTATATTAAAAAATATAGAAGAGATATAAATATAGATATATATATAAGATTAATTCCTGTGGCTCTGGTATCAGATCAGGGAACATCAATTCAGTCAGCCATTAATAAGTTGAAGAAAGACAAGAAAAAAACACAAATATTGGCAAATGAAAATACTGGTAAGATAATTAAATGAAAGGTTTAAAACCACAAATTAAAGTTTTTAATAAAGTGCTAAAATTATTAGTAATGTATTTTTATACTTTTGATTGCCTATTAACCAAATTTTTGTTTTCATTTCAGATGACACAATCACAAGAAGTCAAAAGATTAATAACATATTTGATCCCCCTCACCTCATTAATGGTCTAAGAAATAATTTTCTTTACAAAAATATAGTATTGAATGGGAAAACATCAAAATGGGATGATATTGTAGGTGTTTATTTAACAGACTACAAACATGCAGAAATATATTTGCCGCATAAGTTAAATGATGAACATGTCATTCCTCAGAAAATAAAAAAATGAAGGTAAGCTTACCAATGTAAGAAAATAAATATATACATACAATAGAATACATCTTTGGAATAAAGCCAAATTAATTAATATTAACATTTGGTTTTTCAGGTGAGAAACTGCAGTTGTGTGTTAAGCAAAACTGTTGCAGGAGCCTTGGCATACACATCAAAATTTTGTAAGTCTGTTGATTTAAATATTATTTTATTTTAATTTACAATATGGGGAAATCTATCAAACTTTACCAAATTCCAACATCACCTGCATGAAGTGAGCCCTGCTTACTAATAAATAGTGCAATCTACTTCTGTAGGTAATCCATTTACATTTGCAGAACCAAAAATCTCACAACTAGATGATGGAGAGTGTATTGTGGCTATAGGCACATTGAAATATTGTATCATCTTCATTATTATAGCCTCTTCAAAAGTCCACTGCTGAACATAGGCCTCACCTGAAATGTCGTTATACACAGAACTCACCCATGTGCACACATCACATTCCGGCATGTCTTATCAGGTCATCACCTTAGTGGGGGGGCCGTCTTACGATTTGCTTACAGATGTGCGCCTACCAATAGAAAAATATTCACTGATTTATAAAGTCCTAAATCCAGCAGAGGATGTAAATGTAGAAAGCTGATATTTATTTTACTTTTTTATACTTTTTATTGCATACAATATTATATTACATAAACACTGACAACAAACTATATACTAAATGTACAATTAGCGGGCCTTAATACTAAACAGAGATCTGTTCCAGGAAAAACTATAGAGAAGGAGATTATTTTTATATAAGGTTGCATGGATACTTATAAGCTGTATTATGTAGGATTGACTGCTTTGTTGGTCTAGTGGTTGTAGTAGTGTGACTGCTGATCATGAGGTCCTGGGATCGATCTCAGGTCGGGCCAAAAACCAATTGTTGCGTTTTCTGTCAAGAAATTTTCAGTAGCTGCCTGGAGTCAAGAAGTTGGCGGTGTCTTACCACCATGCCTCGGAAAACTCGTAAAGGCGTTGATCCTGTGCCTGGTCTCTCTCCGGTCGTGTCAGTTTACTGTTCCATCGGATTGAGAGTGAGGAAATAGAGAGTGCACCTGTACTTGCGCATAGATTTAGGCAATATAATCCTATTATAAACCCTCAGTATTCTATAGGATGCATTTTGTGCGTAGGAATTGCACGCTTTAATTCCTTCTTCTCCTTTTCACCATCGGACGACCAGGCGGTCGGCGGGTCTTTACCCCTTTGTTGTTGATATTCCACGCATTAGTACCAAACGGTTTACTTCGAATTTTTTAATGCATACAGCAAAGGAGTGGAATAATTTGCCAGCGTCTATCTTTCCATCCGAATACAATCTGGGCGTCTTCAAGGCAAGAGTGAATAGGGTTTTGTTACGCTAAGACAGTGCGATTTACTATCTAAGGCTGCATCACCACTTACTGCCAGGTGGGATTGTGGTCAAGCACCGGCTTATAAAAAGTAAAAAAAATATATAAGAATAAAAGAGAAACAAATAACATTAATTTAGGGTTTCTATGGCTAACACTATATTTATTTTTATGTTACAGCTCGCTAAGCTGATAGAAAACCTGTAAACTCGACGTCAAAAATACTTCAGAAGCTTTGTCATTTTTCGAGGACTTATTTGATTCATGTAAGGAAACAGCTCTTAGACGGAGAAACAAAGTGAAGCCCTTAAAGCAAGCTGTAACGAATTCATCAGAGCACGAAACCCTTTTGACTAATTCCATTAAAAAAAATAGAGTAATTAGATTTGTTAATAAAGAGGACAAGGAGTGTATTATGTCCTCTAAAAAATTCAGTCGTCAGTCCACCAATGGATTTCTCACAGAGAGTATAGATACTTAAAATAAAAACAAAAATCAACCTATCCCTCAGAATATGCAGTGAGGTATATTTCAACCGTTGTAAAAGAAACAAACTAATATTTGGAAGTGAAACCAAATTCTTATGAAATTTTAAAAAAAAATCATATGGAAATCCAAATATTGGAACGGAAATGGAACTGGTGTAACATTACTAAAATCTTAAAAGAATTTGATATTGTGAGATTAAAATAACGTAACCAATTGTCGCAAATGCTAGATAAAGTTTATAAATAATTTAAAAAGAAAAAGAAATAAAAACTTGAATAACTAATATATAAGTTGTTTTATTTTTGTATTATATCGCACATTGAGAAGAAGAACGTCACTAAACAAAACTAAGGTAATTTTACATTAAAACGCCATCTTTTTTATTCAAAAAACAATCTCTGTATTGCAAAGACTCGTTTTGTCGTAGTTCCTCTAATTGTGGCTAGATAGCGTAGTGACGTTATGGTTTTCTGGCGGGGCGGCACGCTTTAGGACAAGAAAGAGCGGCATTTTTTTTAGTAGTGACAGAGACACGACGCGTATCACTACAGGGCCTACGAAGAATAACGTTGTTGTTTGGATAGTGTCGTTGTGTAGTAAAACTTTTTGGTAAGTTTTTAAGATTGCTTGAAGTAATAACGTCTTTATATGAATAGTGTCGATATTCTATCAATTTAGTACACCACAAAGTGTCGAAATACAAAGTTACATAGTGTCATTTTGAGTATAAATACATTATTGTTTTAATATTGATATGTTTTTTTAAAATCTTTATGACATTTTGCATTAAATGTCAGTATTCATATAATACCAAACTAGAAATTAAGTTTTTGATTGAAAGTAAAGGAGTCATATTTCGTTTAGTGCCTACAATTAAGTAGCAAATAGTATAAAATTAGTTGTTGTACTTTTTTGAAGATTGTCGTTTTAAATTGAAGTTTATTTTATTTAAGTTAGTTTTTTTGTAAAAAAAAAACAGTATCATATCGACATATTGCTGGAAGCAACAGTTATTCACGTCATCATTTGAAGATAATACAAAAAACTTTAAGACATAAAGCCACATTTTGTTTAACTACACAATATTGATATGGTTTTAATATTTTTTCTCCTCTATTTCAGTCAAAATGCCACTACCAAATTCCAGAAGTCTAGCATTAAAAGAAATTATTAAAGATCTCCAAAAAAATAGCTCAACAAATAGCGAAGTAGAAAAAGAAAATTTATTACCAGTAAGCCCAACCGACCAGAAAGAACCGATAGAAAATCAAGTTGTACCTTCTACTTCAAAAAGAAACATATCTTTAAATGAACGTGCTTACAATGTACACCAAAGTTTACGTGAAAAAGGATTATCCTACACTTTTGATGAAAAGTCTGATCAAGGTTTTTCGCCTGCTTCCGATGATGATAGGGAGTATATACCCCCATCTATAGCTGACAGTTCGTCTTCAGACGATGATTTCAAGCGACAAAATAAACAAAAACAACATAAAACTTACCTCTCTCAGCCAATCAAATCTTTGGAAGAAACAAAGTGTCCAATTAAATCCGTCTCGTCAAGATCAACTTCTGTGTCGTCGTCTTCTAATACTTCGAAATCCAACTCTAACACCAGCTCCGATTCCAGCTCCGATTCCAGCTCAGATTCTAGTTCAGATTCTTCTAGCTCAGATTCCGAGTCTGATTCCTCAAAATGTAAAAAAAATAGTAATTTTGTTCCTTCACCAGCTAAATTAAAACGCTATAGTTCTCCGGTTGTAAATACTTACCCCCCTCAACCAAAAACTTCATCAAACTCAATGCAATTAGCCGAAAAATCTGTATCATCAGATTCAGAAGATTACACATCTCATTTTAAGGAAGTTTCTTCCATAAAATCAAATATTAATACAAATAACATTTCTGGACACATCCCTCTTTCTGAAAATTTACTTAACATCAGTCCAAGTGCTTTAAATTTATCTACAGAAATTTCAACGGATGTCCGAAAATTCCATAACTCGAATGAACCGTTACCACTAAAAGTTCTTGCACAGAAAATTGTCACCTCATTAATTACACATCAACAATCTTATTTGTCTGCTTCTCGTTCAGCGGAGTGCCAAAATTCTAACTCTTCTCCTAAAAAGACACGCAAAAGAAAACGAGGAATAAACAAAAAAGCCTTGGCAAAAACATTGCGCAATTTAGGGCAATCATATACATCTACCTCAAATGTTGTTAAATCTTGTAGAAAAATAGGAAATCCTTGCGGTGATGGTTGCCGACAAAAATGTAAGGAGAGGATTTCGGAGGAACAGCGTCAAATTATTTTTAAACGATACTGGAGCATGGGATCTCTAGTTAAACAAAGAGAATTTATATCCAGACATATTAGGGAAATCAAGCCTAAATACCAATACAAAAAAAATTGATAGCAATAGAAAACCTAAACATTCTTTTTATTTCACTATAGATGGGGAAAAAATTAAAGTTTGCAAAGTCTTTTTCAAAAATACATTGGGATTAAATGACAGACCTATTCGCACCGTGATTGAAAAATTGAATTCGTCAGGAATCGTTGAACCAGAACTTCGAGGTAAACATAACAAACATCGTCAAGTACCAGTGGAATTGTTAGATGGAGTCCGACAGCACATAAATAGCATACCTAGAATCGAAAGTCATTTATTAAGGAAACAAACAAGCAGAGAATATATTGATGGAGGAAAAACACTAACCGATTTACACACAGACTATAAAAATGATTGCGAAAAGAACGGACTGCCATATGTTAAAATCCACACGTACCGAAAATTTTTTAAAGAAGAATTTAATATTAGTTTTTATATTCCGAAGAAAGACCAATGTGGAGACTGCATTAAATATCAAAATTCACAACCTTCAGAAAAGGAAAAGCTCGAAGAAGAACACAGAATTCATTTACAAGAAAAAGAAAAAAGCCGAGTAGAAAAATTGAAAGATAAGGAAGCCGTAAGCGAAAAAAACATAGTAGCCTGTTACGATTTACAAGCTGTTCTACAAGTACCTAAAGGTAATGCGAGTCAGTTTTAATATAGATCCCGATTGAATTGTTTAAATTTTACAATTTGTGAATTGGCAAAGGATCATACTGAATGTTTCTTTTGGACTGAGGTTGAAGGAGACAGAGGTGCCAATGAAATAGGCTCTTGTGTTTTAAAGTATTTACAAGATAAAACAGCAGCTGCATCTGAGGCATTAGATTTCATTTTTTACAGTGACAATTGTGGTGGGCAGCAGAAAAACCAGTTTGTATTTTCTATGTACATTTATGCAGTTAAGAATCTCGATAAAATTCGGTCAATAACGCATAAATTCTTGATAAAAGGGCATACTCAGAATGAAGGAGATGCTGCACATTCCACGATTGAAAAACAAATTAAAAAGAATCTACGGTCAGGACCAATTTATGTTCCAGACCAGTATGTAAGTGCTATAAGAGATGCAAAAAAAAGGGGAAATAAATATATAGTAAAGGAAATGAGTCATTACGAATTTTATGACATAAAGAGCCTACAAGAATATAAACTTGTGAAAAATAAAGAAGGAGAAAAGGTTAAGACTAGTGATATTAAAGTTTTAAAAGTTAAAATGTCGGAAAATGTGTCTGATGGCATAAGAGTTTTTTATAAAACTTCTTATTTACAAGATGCATTTTAAGAAATAAATTTGCAAAAATTAAGCCGGGCCAGACCTCTGTTAAAACAATTATATTCATCAAGAATACCTTTATCTGCTGCTAAAAAAGCCGACCTAAAGAAACTTATTAGCAAGCGTGCTATTCCACTTTACTATGCTTGTTCTTTCTACAATTTTGTTCTTAATTGATTTCAATTTTTAACTGATCTCATGTTATTTGATTTGCTATGTAACTTGTTATACTTTATTTTGCTACACATTTATGCCTTAATTATGTTCTAACAGTAAATGTTCTTTAGTTTGACTATTGATTTTTATAGATTTTATAAAAAATGTTTTGGTACTCAATTATTATTTTTAGTTTTTAGATTGGTAGTTTAGTACTTGATCTATAATGTTCCTAATACTTAAGTAAAATAATATTAATATTCTAATAAATAACGACAGATTAATGATTATTTACTACGGAGACTGATTTGGTAAGCTTACAATTAGAATAATTATTCATAAAATTAGTCACCATTACTATTGATAGTAATAGTTAACACTCCCAAAGATAACTGTCAGACAATAAAAAATACATAACTATGTATTCCTTTGTTTTATTTTTCGATATTTCGCAACTAATTTGAAATTAGTAATGTAATTTTAAAAAAATTACATCGCTTTTGTGACTCTTATGACTACAACTTGTCACTGGTTCTGCAGTAATAATAAAAAGAAGAATGACACTAAACAAATTTTTATAAAAAAATCAACATTACAAGTCAAAGAAATTAATAATAAAAAGTAAATTATAATATTAAAATAGTTTTCTATTATTTTTAGTGAAAACAGCATCAAAAAATAGTTTCGAAGTCAAAAACTGCAATGGTGTCATTTTTTCATACTTTAAATGCTTATTCCTCAAAACTACATTTTTTGTTTAGTGACGTTCTTCTTCTCAATGTGCGATATGTTCTAAAGATTTTAAAATTGTCAACTTTTAATGGTGAATAGCTGTAGGTATGGGAATGAAATTAGGCTTTATCAATGATGTACTTTTGCCTTATAACTACAAAATTTAAAAGTAACGTAAGGAGGCTTTATCAATGATGTACTTTTGCCTGATACCTCAAAATTAGAAGTAAACAAAAGTCAAACTCTAAACTACTGCTTCCGTATTGGTTGTTCTAAGATTCCTGTCTGATGCGTAGTATCCTCTTAGTAGTCTGTGGTAGACAGTAATAGTCTTCTGTGCACATTGTGCTATTAGTTATTTTTCCGGAAAAATAATGGAAGAAACGGAAGACGTAGAATTTGTATCTGCTGAACATGATCGCTTAGTAAGTGCTGTTTCTAAATTAGATAAAACTCAACATATAACTGAACCTACACGGAATGAGCCAACAAATTTAAATACAGAATTTAATCTGATAAAAATATCAAATAAGCTTAACCTCAACAACATAGTAAAAGTTTTAGAGGATACTGCTCACCATGTCAAAATAAGTAAAAAATTAAAAGAAAGTCAGAAGTCGTCTAAAATACTGCCTAAGCCATTAGAGAAACCTCAAGCTGAACGAATAAAGAGAGCCACTGGGTATGAGCAAACTAAGAAGAAAGTAGGAAGATGGGATCCAGTTGTTGCCCGAAATCGTACAGTAGATTTTGTGACATTTCCTTTAAAGAATGTTAATACTAAACTTCAGCCAACACAGGAATTTTTGTCAAAATTAAAGTTAAAATCTCCACTTGAAAAAGAATTAGAGGAAGTAGATCCACCTGCTGCTGAAGATCCAGAGGAGGAGGAAGAACCTTTGTATCCTATGTCATATGAAGAAATGCTTGAACACAGACAGCAGCTTGCGAAACTAAGGGCTCAACAATCTTACCAAGCAGCTAAAGCCAAAAGACAAAGTAAAATAAAGAGCAAGAAATACCATCGGTTTGTAGTAACAGTTAATATTTTTCCTGTGAAATCATTGCTATTTTCCTTAATTGTTAAGTCTAAGGATAGTGAACACTAGATATTAATAAAATATTAAAACAGGCCTATCAAAAGTCCACTGTTGAACATAGGCCTATCCCATAGATTACATGATAGGCAAAAATTATATACATTTTAACCACAGTTTTTTTTTATTTTTAGTTTCATTTCTCTCACCAACACATATGTGACTGTTACGAAACTTGTGGGAAAAGATGGGGTAGTGGATACTCTTACACAAGCCACCACACAGCTATAAATAGATATGTAATTTGAACCATCATCTAACCCATTATTTAATTTGCTGTTATTTGTGTACATATTAAATTTTGATTAAATATGTATGCTTTACAAGAGATTTGAAACTAAATAAAGTGGAAATAATTTTCCTCGATTTGATTTCAGACATAAAATAAAAAAAAATATATTTGCTAAATAAACATTGATAATAAAGAAATTCTAAAGTAGGCAAAAAAATTCATATTTGAAATCATGAAAAGGACATGGGGGATTTTGTATGAACCCTGTTCCCACCCTACAACAGTCATGGAATATGTGTAAATTAGTTCATTGGGACCCAAAAAAGCCTTACGTACTACCTGTGTTTGTTGCTAAAACTATTGGGTTTATTTATAATAAAAAAAAAACTTTTTGGCAAAAATGTGTTTATTTTTAAACAAATTTTTTTTCACAACCTAAAAAGCATATTTCACATATACAAAGACAATTCTATATTAAAAAAAATTACATGGTTCTCATACTTAAAATCACTGAGTAATAATAATAGTGCTTAAATAATATATGTACCTATTAACTCATTACTACAACCAAAAGCATGTCAGACAATACACTACTAGCTTAAGTTAAGCACTGATTTATACTGCATGCCATACAAAACAAGGCTAGTCTAAACTGTCAAGCTCGACATGCTCTTTACTATACTAATAATTATATTAAGTGATCTATTATAATATTATCAAGCATTTGTGCTGGTGCATTAAAGTCAATGTTACGCCCTAATCCCATGTACCATACAATGGATACTATGTGCGCATAACTTCCCACAGTGCGATAAGGCAAGTGCAGTAACCAATGTGCAATAGTATGTCTGTTAGCCAAATCCCGGCCAATTAAAATCTACACTACAATAAATGTTAACTGACATGGCGCGACTGAATCTGTACTCTGACTAGCCAAACATTATTTAGCAGGATATTGCATGGGTGTAAATCGTTTAACTCATTATCACAGTATAATTCTATATTATAAAGGCCATCGCGAAAGTGTTCGGTGCAGTAAGAAACACTTCATCATAGATAAACGTGGGAAGTCTTCAAAGTTAGGGATATTTGCTTGCATGGTTTCAAAAAGCACTCTCTATCTGCTAAGATTTTTCATTTGCACATAATCATGCAAATGATTGAGTATGTTCATTCTAGAATGAAATATATCTATGATAACAGCGACGAGTCTGTTGTCAACAGCGACTCGATATTAGGCGTTTATTATAGCCACTGCGATTTTATAGTCACAGAATGTATAACTTAATGCACTGTTAAAATACTTTTGTCGCAACAATCTAAACCTATTTTCAAACTTGCCGTTGATAGTCTCAACAACCCATCCGCAAATTGTAACCAATTGGGACTTATTTGCCTGGTCTGTTGGTAGCTGACTAGCATTCAGGTCTATTGTAGGTGGCATGTGGGCTTCATAGCCACAAGACTGGATATCACCAATGCTCTAAACCCCTTTCTACTGTAATCACTGTTCACATTGCCACTGTTTAAAAACCAATGCAATGGATTTTCTTCATTTATCAATGACTGCATAATGGTAGCATCAGATGCTGTAGCCCAGGAATGGACCGAGTATGTCTATTATGTAACCATCACTGCTCACAATTATAAAAGGTTTTAAAAGATTCCAAAACTCGTCAAGGCTGTAAGATTGGCGCTGAAATAAAAAATTGGAGCTTTTTTCGCAGGCACAACACACCGGCTGTATCCACAATTGTGCTAAAACATTCTCAAAATCAAATTCCTTTAACATGCCAAGGCAAATCACAAAGATATTCTCACAGTCCGGTAAACTGCAAGGGTCGTTGTGCGTCGTAAACAAGTCGATAATGTTAACCACGAGAGTAGCAATTTACAAACGAGTGACGAATGCGACTACCTGGTTGGTAGGTGCGTGTGCGGCGATCCCCGGAGAGGTGGAGGTGGGGAAGGCGACGAGCTCAAACCTGCACCTTCATATGCGACGCTATTAGCGTATTACTATTCATTTTTGCGCAATGTAATTGTAATATGTTAGTTAAAAAAATTTATAAAAAACGTTAAAAAAAAATAAATAAAAAAGTCGCACGTATTTGAAGTATGTCGCCATAGTAAAAAAATATCTAAAATTATTAAAAATATCACTTATTTCAAATATGTTGGATGGTGGGGATGTTTCTTCTCATTGTCATTTAGTCAATAGAATAGAATCACCAAAAACAAAAAAAGCTAAATAATGTACTAGTTATTCTGTATTTTTGTGTACAATGAATAGTAGAAATAAATAAATATGGGTATTCACAAAAGTAAAGTTACAGTGAATATATGTCTTACTCTTGGGAACAGGCCTTCTCTTATTTCTGAGGGGGATATTGACTACTCAGTATGCTGTTTAAATCCAGTCCATGTTGGCAAACTTTACTTACGGCCTCAAAATATTATAATGTTTAGACATGCAGACTTTGTCACAGTATTTTCTTTTACTACTGTGCACATGGTATATCTCATGGGCGTCTTAAGAGGCGATAGAGGAAAACAAATTAGAAGAAGGGCTTTCTAATAATGTCTAAAAATAAAAATAACCGGTTGGCAAACAGTGCCAACCCACTTGCCAAGTGTAGTAACTATGGCAAATATCCACCCCTATGAGGCAATATATGGGATAGGCCTATGTTGAACAGTGGACTTTAATAAGCTGTAACCGATAACATGGTAAAAGCAGTACTTTAAATTGCTACTAACAATTGTGTAAACCCCTGTTATTTGCATACTGTAAAAATTTTTGGTTAATGCTTAACTAGTGAGGTACCACTGCTTTGATTATTCATGTACATGATTGTTTATAGAAATTTTTTTTATTTTTTTTAGATTATTTAATAGTTTGTTCCTAAATGAAGATTGCATTAATAATATTTGTGAAAAGCCAATATTTGTCTCACAAAATAATTTTTGTACTTGACGGAAATCCGACACGACCGTAGGGAGATCAGGAGTTTACCGAGATACAGAGGTGAAACACTGCCAACTTTCAAACTCCATGCTGCTACTAAGAATTTCTTGACCAAAACCCCAATAACTAATTTTGGTCTGAGCTAGGATTAAACCTGGAACCTCATGATCAGCAATCGCGTTTACAACCACTAGACCAATGAGGCAGTCAGCTAATAAAGTAATATTTCAAATACACATCTTGAACTTGCGAAATTGTTTTAGAATGTGCTAAGAAAATGCTGTGAATATCTTTGTCCTTTTGCATCTTCATATTTGATCAGTTTCTTTTTTTTTGCTTTTTCCAGTATATTAAAAAAAGATAAGCTTAAACAGCAGTTAAAAGAATTTGAAGAACTGCAAAGTAAGAATCCTGAAGAAGCATTAAAGAAACTGGAGGCACTTGAAAAAGCTAGAGCTTTAGAGAGGCATACACTTCGGCACAAAAATACAGGAAAATGGGCCAAAAGCAAACTAGTGAGAGCAAAGTATGACAAAGAGGTAAGAATTTTCTGAGTATTGCATGTGTGAAGATGTGGTTATATTCAATGTAAGTGATGCCAGAACCCGCTGCAGAGCTCTATCACATTTAAGCTTACATATTTTATTTACCATAATTTCATTTTCAGGTCAGACAACAATTAGCTGAGCAATTAGCAGTCAGTAAATCTCTTACTCATAAAACAGTAGACATAGAAAGTTCTGATGAGGATGCTGATAACAATGAAGAAATTCAAGATATAGCCCTTTCACAAGATCCTGCAAATCCTTGGATGATGAGAAGAGCAGATAAAGATAATGTAGATGCTGCATTTGACTTTGGCTATAAAAAGTTTCTTAAAAACAAAATGTTCAAACGACAAGAAGCTAGTGGTTCAGAATCTGATCAGGATTTCTCGGAGACTGGTAATCAGAATAAAACAGAATGTGTACTCAAACTTTTAAAGGAGAGTGTTAATAAAATAGGTCACAAAGAAAATGATGATCATTCTGGAAAAACTGCAGATTCCAATGATGTTTTAAATGAACCAGCCAAGAAAAAGCCTAAAATGTCAAATAAACATCCTCCTGTCGAAAATAGAACACTAAAGAGAAAAACAGAAATAGTTGCTACATCAAATTGGGTTGTTGTCCCTGTAACTACAAATCAAAAGGAGGAACAAGTTAAGGCTTCAGAAGATATTTCGAACATTTTTGAATCATTTGAAAACAAAGTTGTAGGCAAAGTAGCAAAAAAAATTAAAAAGTTAAAAAAGCAATTTGATAACATGGAAAAAAAATCTGTGGCAGCAAGCAAAAACGAAGCCAGTACACATACTGATGAAAAGTATGAGTTAGAATATTTAAAATTTAAAAATCAAAACAAAAAACCAATAATTGATGAACCATTAATAGAAACAAACACTAAAACAGATGTTTCCAAGGATGAAAATAAATCATTGACCAAGGCATTGATATCCAATGAAAAACAAGATAATTCGAATACAGATATAGATCCTAGCAGGTTTATTGAAGTCAAGCCAAAATATTTAAACACATCTGTGCCGAAAGATGTAAATGAATATGATAATTTGGATGATGATGATGAACAAGTTGTTCCAAAAATAGATATTGAAGAAGTGTTTGAAGAAGATGATGTTGTAGCTAGTTTTAGACAAGAAAAAGAAAATGAAATAAATAAAGATAAACCACAAGACATAGACTTAAGTTTACCAGGGTGGGGACAGTGGGGAGGCAAAGGTGTTAAAGCTTCTCGGCGAAAGAAAAATAGGTTTATTTTAAAAGCACCACCAAATGTCCCACGACGTGACGAAAATAAGGGCGATGTAATTATTAAAGAATATAAAGACCCAAAACTCGCTTCACATAAAGTGTCAGATATACCATTTCCATTTAGCAGTGTTAAAGATTATGAAGCTTCAATTAGAATTCCACTTGGAAACACTTTCATCCCTGAAAAGGCACACAAAAAACTTATTCGTCCAGCTGTGATCACAAAAGCAGGTGCAATTATTGAACCAATGGATGAAGAGGAGTTACTTGTCTCTAGAAATCGTACCTTTAGAAATGAAGCTGTTATTAGGTTGTTAGCAAAGAAATAAAATAACTTTTTGCAATTTTAATTTATTTTTTCTTACATTCTATTTTACACACCAACTCTTACAGGTGGCGACACTAGTATAACACCATCACCTCTCACAAATAACATAGGAATGTTCCTTTTTGTTGTTCTATACACTTCTTCATATGTCTCTTCATCAATTTCAACTGTTGTTATGGTTTCCTCTGCATCCCCCAATACCATGTTTAAGTGTTGATCATAAGCCTGTAATATTTATAATATATACTTGCAATTGTGGTCATTTAGTAAAACTTCATCTTTATTTTTGAGATTTGGATAGAAATAATTACTACATCATACTATAAACAATTATATGAGAATACACAAGAAGAACCTGGCGAATTAATAGTAATAAATAATGATGAGGATGAGAGCATACCCTATATACTGCAACGAGAGGTAGAAGTAGCAGTCCCAAAGTAAAGACGAAGCCCCAGGGCCAGATATCAGAAAATGAAATCCTATTAATGGCAAAAAATGTTCTGTTACCAGTTATCACGAAACTATTTAATGAAATTTTCGCAAACGAAATTATCCCGATACAATGGACGCAATCTAATATAGTATTGTTATATAAAAAAGGGTGATAAACTTAATATAGGTAATTATCGCCCGATCAGCCTTATGTCCAAGTTATACAAAATTTTTGCGAAAATACTGCTAAGAAGACTGGAAAGAAAATTAGACGACAACCAACCAGACGAGCAAGCAGGTTTTCGTAGAGGGTACTCAGTATTGGACCATATACATGTTATGAGGCAGATTATAGAAAAATCCCATGAATACTACTAATTATATTACATGGCATATATAGATTACAGCAAGGCTTTCGACTCTTTATTTCACAATAAGACATGGCAGGCCCTAAAAGAACAAGGTATTGAAAGCAAGTACATAAGGATACTGAGAGAGATATACAAGAAAAGTACAGCATGCATACAGTTAGAAAAGACAGGAGAACCATTTAACATA